AAATGTCAAAGTATTTACAGTCTTGAACAGATCTCAGAAATAATATTAAAAGTCAGAAAACTCACCTCGGAGAGCTAAAATCTTTTCATCACAAATGTTCATGCCTGTTTTGTCTCTTCTTCTTAGCACAAAGGGTTCAGTGCTTGGATCTGTTTCATCTTCTGAATGTGGATTTCATGTGGGGGGGAAATTTAAAGCATTAGTTTTATGTTTGGGCAATATGCTAATGGTGCACAACCTGAAGAACGAGGGCCGCATGTGGCCCATTGGGGTCCTATGTGTGGCCCATGAGACATATTGTTTGTTGTTGCCCACATGCAGGGTTGCCAGCTTCCACTGGTTTCTGTCCATGTTGGTTTTTTCCTACCAATATTACTAAAGTGACACACACGCAGGGCAAGAGCACATGAACTGAGGTGTGTGCTGATGGCTCACAACACAGACTGTGAAAGCTGTGTGCTCCCTCTGCATTAACTCAAAGTGCTGCTGCGGTTCAGTCGGCACACCCCACAAATTCTAGGTACACAAGTGCAGCTGGTAAAACTACCCTATTCCAAGAGACCATCTTGGTTATGATAATCTTATGGCCCACTAAGATGAAAGAGAGCTATTCATGTGGTCCACTAACTGAAAAGTTGAGTGTCAGTCTCCAAAGCCATGGAGTTCACCCACCTCAAGAGTTTGATACTTGTACTCCAAGGCTACGTCTACACTGGCACTTTTTTCCGGAAATGCTTAAAACAGAACAGTTTTCCGTTATAAGTATTTCCGGAAAAAGAGCGTCTACATTGGCAGGATGCTTTTCCGGAAAAGCCCTTTTTCCGGAAAAGCGTCCGTGGCCAACGTAGATGCGCTTTTCCGGAAAAAAGCCCCGATCGTCATTTTCACGATCGGGGCTTTTTTGCGGAAAAGACTACTGTGCTGTCTACACTGGCCCTTTTCCGGAACAGTTTTCTGGAAAAAGGACTTTTGCCCGAGCGGGAGCAGCATAGTTTTTCCGGAAAAGCAGCTGATTTCTTACAGTAGATCGTCAGTGCTTTTCCGGAAATTCAAGGGGCCAGTGTAGACAGCTCGCAGCTTATTCCGGAAAAGCGGCTGCTTTTCCGGAATAAGTGGCCCAGTGTGGACACAGCCCAAAGGTACAGTCTTTACAAACATATGGAAATACAATAAGAGAAGGCAAATGTGTATCAAGATAGCACTGAAAAACATCGTAGTTATACAAAATGCTGCAGAGACAATTGCACAATTTTTGCTAATCAATCAGTCACTTCTCTTGATGTAGTTCTCATTAATGTTAAACATAACTTATTAATGTTAACTTAAGTTGCATATTTATTAAAGGAATAAATTACTTCAGCTTTCTATGTAACTTAGGGTATGTCTACACTACCCCGCTAGTTCGAACTAGCGGGGTAATGTAGGCATACCGCACTTGCAAATGAAGCCCGGGAAATTCAAATCCCAGGCTTCATTTGCAAATGTGGTATGCCTACATTACCCCGCTAGTTCGAACTAGCGGGGTAATGTAGGCATACCGCACTTGCAAATGAAGCCCGGGAAATTCAAATCCCAGGCTTCATTTGCAAATGTGGTATGCCTACATTACCCCGCTAGTTCGAACTAGCGGGGTAATGTAGGCATACCGCACTTGCAAATGAAGCCCGGGAAATTCAAATCCCAGGCTTCATTTGCAAATGTGGTATGCCTACATTACCCCGCTAGTTCGAACTAGCGGGGTAATGTAGGCATACCACATTTGCAAATGAAGCCTGGGATTTGAATTTCCCGGGCTTCATTTGCAAGTGCGGTATGCCTACATTACCCTCCTAGTTCAAACTAGGAGGGTAGTGTAGACATACCCCTAGTGTTTCTACATTAACTTCACTATTTTACATATCATTACTTTCATGATTAAGCAAATATATGTCAATAAATCACAGTAGGTAAAGTCAGAATACAGCAAGTGGGACAGAAGTTAATTTGCATCTGAAATGAGGAGCAGCACTTCCTGTTGCCTACAGATTAAAGATGAAACTTGTCTGATCCTCAGTGTCCCCTTTGCTTTTTTTGAACGTGTAAGTTACCAGCTTTCTAGTAGGCTGATTTCTATTTTTAAGAGAAAGGATGGCAGCAGCATCATTGATGTATAGTATATGTTCATCTCTTCTCAGGGAAGAGCTGACTGGAAATAGGAACACAATTTGGGAAAACAGACAAAAAAAATAGGCTCATTAAGAACTTTGATAGGGCTCATGTACTAATGTACTGTCCCACTGTCACAAAGAGAATAAAAGGCTGAATTGAAACGGCAACTCTGCTGTGAACTTTTTTGCATGGGAGTGACTTTCCATAAATGACAAGGGGCTTCACATACAGGCAGTCCCCGGATTACGTACAAGATAGGGACTGTAGGTTTGTTCTTAAGTTGAATCTGTATGTAAGTCGGAACTGGCATCCAGATTCAGCCGCTGCTGAAACATCAGTTTCAACAGCAGCTGAATCTGGACACCAGTTCCGACTTACATACAGCTTCAACTTAAGAACCCCAGGTGTCCCCAAGTCAGCTGCTGCTGAAACTGATCAGCAGCTGATTCCAGGAAGCCTGGGGCAGAGCAACTCTGCCTCGGGCTTCCTGTAGT